GTTGTTGTTTTTTTTTAATGAGAGAACATGTTTACGGTTATATTTCTTAAAGGCATTTGAATGTATTTACAGCAGTTTTTTAAACGATAAACACAACTATACTATTTGATTGGGTTTTCCCTTTTATAAAAAAACGTCAACGCTACCTAAAACAATTTAGTTTAACTGGCAAAATCGTAATTAAATGAAGATTATCGCTTTTCTGTTTTGTTTTGTTTTTATTTCCATTAAAATATTTTATTTTCGTTTACCGTGAAACCTAATGTATTTTCACTAATTCTTACTAAATCGTATTTTATAATATAAATTTTTTTATCTAATAAAAAAAACATTCCACAAATTTTTTTTACAACAAATAATTACAGCTTAAATGACTATTATGTAAAAAAAAGTTGGTTAGAAAAGTTTAAATGACAATTATGTTAGCTATAAGCACTATTTGTTTGTGAAAAAAACTCAAATAAAATTAAAAACTACAAAAACTTTATCTCTATTAAGCTAATTATTTTATCGAAATATTTAGTAACAAAAAATTAAATTGTTTAAAGTTAACAACTATAAATAATTTTGTTTTTTTTAATTACAAAGTTATTAAATGAAAGGTTAAAAAAAATAAACCATAAAAGAAATATATATAATAAAAACTTTTATTTATCATCTTGCGAGCACAATAATATTTATGCAACATTTGATTGCAATAAAAAAATTCACTTAAATTTCTATATAATAATAATTTATAATTAATTTTTTTATTTCATTTTAATGATCGATTTTTTTGTTTGAAAAACACTAATACTTTATGCTTGAAGAAAAGATCATTATAATATAAATTAATTCTGATAAAAAATATATGATTTAATTTAAAACTAATTTAATCAAAATATATAACTTTATTCAGATGAAAAATTATATAACTTAATTTTGATTTAAAAAATATATACATATTAATTCTAATTTAAAAAAATATATTTAAGTTTATTAAAATTATGCTTGGGTTTAACTTAACTGTCAAATTTACTTAAAAATATTACTAAATATTGTTCAATATTTAAATTTTATTTATTCTTAAAATAAAATTAGCTCATTTTTATTGCAATTGTTTTTTGGTTTTCCTTCCTAAACATTTTTTTTGTGTGCAAATTTTTGAAACATGTTCTGAGGCTGTTTCAAAAATTTGCACAGAATGTAAATTGAACTTTTTTTTATAACGCAAACAGACCGCAGCAATTATTTTTTAATAAATGATATATACAGCGATAAAATTTTAACAAATGGTGTTTAGAAAAAACTTTGCTTTCACAACAAAATTGCTAATAAAATAATAAACTTTTAATAAATAAAGTAGATAAATTAAAGTAATTTTTTTATTTGTTACTTATTTTTTTAAATAAAAAAACATTTTTAGTTGCAAATTTTTAAAAATGATTATTTAAGAAATAATCATTTAAAAAAATTAATTATTTAATATAAAAAAAAAATGAAAGAAAATAAACATTTCTTAATAGTAGTAATAAAAAACGAGTTAATAATATTTAACTTGTTTTGCGGTAATTTATATTGTTGCAGTAATTTATATATATATATATATATATATATATATATATATATATATATATATATATATATATATATATATATATATATATATATATATCTACTATAGCATATTTATATGTGCAATGGCTCACTTTTTTTGCTAGCCTAAATTAAGTGAGCATTTTTAGAAAACGATGAGGGAAAATGAAGAATAATGAATGAAAATGTTGCTGACCCATACAAAACCCTCAGTCGATGTAGCAGCACTCCACGGCGAGTCAGGCTATTTGTCAGTCGATGTATGTACTGCCCCCGGCAGCAGGCTAATTGACATTAGGTGAGTATGACATCATCATGCTCACTTAACTCAGCAGTATAAGATAGATAGATAGATATATATATATATATATATATATATATATATATTATATATATATATATATATATATATATATATATATATATATATATATATATATATATATATATATATATATATATATATATATATATATATATATATATATATATATATATATAGGGTGTAAACTAGTCTTGTGGGGCCCTGTCAAACGCGGTATTCCTAAATGCTCATAAAATTAAAATTCCCAATTTAAAAGTGAAAAAATTCCATTCTCAAAATAAAGTTTGCCAAATTAAAGTTTAATAATAATTCTAAAAATTATTGAAAATTAATTACTATTAAAAACTAATAGAAAAATAACATAAAAAATTATAATTTATTGTTAAAAACTTGAAATAAAATTGGCGTTTTTGGTATAATTACGCGCTTGCATAACTGCAAAAATGTCTCTTGGAAAAAAACTTTTTGAGAATTGAGGTTTTTCAAAAATCCCTAAAACCTCTCGAAAAAAAAATTCATTTCTCTAAATTTGCAAATAATTTTTTGCAATGCGTTCTAACAACAGCAAATATTATTTAAAAAAGTTAGCAAGTAATAAAGTACAATTAAAAAATTACAAAATTGTTTGATTTAACACCAACAAATGATATTTTTTTAAAAGTTCCGCTCTTTTTGGCTGAAAAGTTAAATAAGTTAAATAAATGTTTTTTGATAATAACAAACTGGTTCTAGAAATTTATTTAATGACGAAAATAAATTTCTTTACTTTACTGGTTGCTTATATTTAAAATATAAATTAAATACGTATGTTAAAACGTAAATTTTTTTTTATTACAACAAACTGGTACTAGAAATTAAAAAAACAAGAAAACTAGATTCACTGTTTGCTTGAATTTAAAACATAAAAGCAAATTTAAATGTTTCAATGAATCATAGTCATAATAACATTTCATGACTATGCATGAAAAAATAATTATTGGTATTCTTTGTTGCCACGATAATGTGCAATCACTTGCGATCTTTTGTAATTCTTTTGTAATTAAACATTTGTTGCTGTTTTTGCTGAGACTTTGTAATTGTGACTTTATTTCGCTATGCAATTTATGTATAAAGAAAGTTAAAATTAATTATATAGTTGAATGCACAGAAAACATGAAATATGAAACTTAAGAGCTTGTGTTTACAATTTTCAAAACCTTTTTTACTTTTCTATTTCTAAAACATCTCTTTTGTTGACACAATTTATTACATGATGATGTAAGGGTTCATCCATAAAGGACGTCAAACAGAATTTAACTATTAATTAGAAGTAGAAGATCACTATGTTACCTTAAAAATCCCTATATTACTCTAAAAATCGCCCTTTAATGCCCATCAGTGAAAAAAATACATATATTCAAAAGAATACTCTTAACATGAAAGCAGCAACAATATATTAAGACTAAAAGTAAATTAAATATACTGTTCTTAATAATTAATTAATACACACTGATTAATTAATACACACTGATTATTTTATAATATAAAAATATATAATTCTAAATATATCTTTGGAAAATGCAGCTTAATTTGTCTTGTCATTGTGAAACCATGTTTAATTTTGTGTTGATTTCATATTAATTTTCAATAAATGTTACAGACGGTATTTAGATTTATTTTTATCGATGTCCAATCATTGTATGTGGTGCTAAAGTGGAGTAGAAGAAAAAAGAATATAAGAAAAGGACCCTGCACGTTCCCGGTACACATTTTAATCTCAGGAGAGAGAGGGGGTGGTATATTTGGGAAATTTTTTGACAAATTCCTAATTTCTTCAAAACACTGTATCTATTCTTAGTTAACACCCTGAAAAATTATACTTTTTTATGCAATTAAACATTAAAAGTTATACTAATTATAATAATTACTGGTTTTATTTAGAATTCAATAATAAATAATAAAAAATAATTTTAAAATGGATTTTAACACCTACAATACTTTTATAATTTTTCAAAATAATAAATAAAAAATTAAAATAACCATGATAATTGTAAAGAAATATGTTTTGAAAATTTTTAGAGAATAGAAAAGACAGAAAAAAGTTTGAAAACTTAAGATAGTCTGCCCATACCCAATTTTGGTCACTATTTCAAGTCAGTCACTTTTACTTAAATGTTATTTAAACAAAAAGTTTTACCATAATATAAAATTAAAAAGAAATACCATAATATAAAAGCAGATCAATATAGAGTAGGACTACATTTATCAGAACATATAAAAAAATATTTTTGCTTGCTGACATTTTTGTGAGGGTTTATTCATCTCAAGTTTTTAAATTTTTTTTTTAATCTTATACCCTAAAAATTTTTAAAACGATTTTCTTTACAATTATAATGGTTATTGCATTTGTTTTTTAATATTTTGAAAAAATATTGTAGTTATTAAAATCCACTTTTAAATTAACTTTTATTTTCATCTATCAGTTATTGAATGCTAATAGAACCTAGTACTTTTTTTTACAAAATCAAACAGCAATTATTTTCAGTTACCTAACTAAATTTGATAAATTTGAATTAGTATTTTAAATACTTTTGGTACCTGTTACCTGCCAAAGCTACCAAGATCTAAAGTATATAGGTCTGGCGTTCACAGGCTTTTAGACGATTAATCTTGAAAAACATTTTTATGTTATTTTTAGTGCATACTTGACATTATTTGAAATCACCCTCTTCCTAATCAATTTTTAAGAATTGGTTCAAAATATGATTAATTGATCATATTTTGACTTCAACTGTTTTTAGGTGGTAAAAAAAGTTTTTGTTTGATAAAAATGTCTCTCTGAGTCTATTCATATTTTATCTAACCTCTAGATAACTGTCAGATAAACTCTTTTCAGCTTAAACTTTTTATTTTAAACATTTTAAACGTTTTTTTTATTCTCATTTTTATTCATTATCTTTTATAATAAAATATTTTTCAGGAGGATTTAAATCAAGAAACATACTTTACATACATTATCATTTAAAACCTAAAATAGATGTTTAGAAATCAGAAACTTATAAGAGGAAAGTAAACAAAACAAAATAAATTAGGTAAAAAATTATATTTGTAAAAAACTTACAGCACATGCAACTGTTTGATGGCAAATAAATTCATTGAGAGGATCATTTCTAATAGAAAATTTAAGACATGTAAGAATAGCTAAACGTGCTAAATCTCCAATTTCACCAGGCTTATGTGTGTAAAATAGAAGTAATTCAAAAAATGTGAAACGAGGAATTTTAAAATCTTCATTTGGAGTATATAAATCATGGGATAATAAGTCTAATAAATATGTATTTGAAATTCGCTGAGATATATTGTATAAAATATTTACATATAAAAACTCTACTTCGTGTGGAGTCCTACGGGTGTCAGTTGGTTTTAGAGATAACATAAGTAAAAGTAATGGTATCATCACTTGCTTACATGCAAGCAGCTTTCCTGAAGCCTTCTGAATAAGAGTATTATAACAAGATAACTGCAATGAAGCCATTGGTTTTAAATATTTACGATTCAAACCAGTCCACCTATAAATTTTGTTAAAAATATCATTCTGTTTGCAAAAATTTAACAAAACTGATTCCATTTCTTCATGAGTGCTATTTTCAACTAAAATTGTTGATATTTGAATTACCATTTTAGAAATGTTTTCAATTTTGTTTGAATCTAATAGCTCATAGTCTGTAATTAATAATAATTCACAATTGCTCCAGAGAACATCTAACTCTGATTTTATTTTCTCCTCGATTGTACTCATGATAAATATAACTTCTGCTAATTGATTAAATTAATTTTTCCAAAACCAAATTTAAAAAACAATTTATTATTTGATAATGAACTACTTTTGATGTACTTTTGTTAATTGATAAGTTGTTTTGATGTCCCATTATCTCAATTTGTTAAATTTTACAGATATTAAAACTATTTTGCCTTTACTAAAAAAAGATTTTTAGCAATAAATAGTCAAAATTCTGAGCAAAACTATTATTGATTTAAAAATGATTTAAATATTGATTTAAAAAAAAAATTAATATTTAAATATGTAAATAAGTTTATTTTATATAACTATATACATCCTTTATATTACAGATAAAATTTAATAAAAAAATTTATATTTCTACTTTGTTTAAAGAGTTAATTAAGTATCTTATCATAGTTTAGTATTGTATCTTTTAAAATTAATTTAGAAAAAATTAGGGGAAAAACATACATAATAGTAGCGTTCCATCAAATTTGTTTGTTTGTTTGTTATCGTTGTTTTTTCAGTTGTTTTTTCTTTGCAGTAATTGGCTAACACATTTAGTTAATGAAAAACAAATTTTTTTATAAAAAAAAAAAAGTTATGAACCAATAACAAAATATTGATTCAACTAATCAGTCAATGAAATTTATTGACAGGCTCAAAGCCCAAGATAATAAATATACAATGGGTAAAATAAAGTGGATAAAAAAAAATAACGTACTTGAACATAAACAAAAGCCAAAGTGTTATAAATTTGAAAATTCAACACTTTCAATATTTAAATAGATACAATAAAAACAACTGAAACCAGATTTAAATACTTGATTATCTTGTTTTTAGGTTTTTTACTTTTAGTTTTTTTATTCTATCTTCCACATTTCTGTAATAAAATAATTACTTTTTACTGTTTTATTATAAAATTTGCATGTTTAACAACTATAACTAGTAAAATGCGTTAGTTAAATAACTGCTTTTTATAATTATGATTTATACTGACAATAAATCTAACATCATTATCTTTCTTTCAAAATTTTCATCATATACATTTTTGCTTCTACTATCCGTAATAATTATCACATTACGATGGTAACGTTACACATTACTAACGGTAAATGCTCTTATAAATTTATAGATGTTAACTATAGTTAACAGTATACTGTTAGTCTGATAAGTTGAAAGTCGGATCGAATTCACTTGAAACTTATTTATTAGAATCGAGTTTACAAAGTACAGAGTAACAAGTACTTGTAGTTAGAGTAAGTCGAAACAACTGTTTTTAGGGGGTAGGTTACGCTCGCCGCTATCCTTTATAATCCCCGGGGTAAAAATTTTACTAACGCCCTATCAGATAACTCCGAGAGCCGTCACGCCACCTGGGACAGCAACCCTGATTGGCGCCCTTATATATGAAAATTTCCCTATATTTTAGTTGAAGGACTTTTTTTTTTTTTTTTTTTCTTTAGGTACCTTCTTTCAGAGTTGTTAATCCTTGGCCTTGGCTTCGGCTTGGGCAAAAATTGCCGCCTTGGCCTTGGCCATGAAACTGTTGGCTTTGGTCTTGATTGTTTTGGCCTTGGCCTTGGCTTCGGCTTGGCCAAAAATTGCCGCCTTGGCCTTGGCCTTGAAACTGTTGGCTTTGGTCTTGATTGTTTTGGCCTTGGCCTTAAAAAAAATACATATCCTCTTATTGATTTTATTGAATTATGCGCATAACCTTAGTCTATTTTTACAAAATGTGATTTTATTGTCACAGCACTTATACAGTTATACACAGTTATAGAGTTTTTTTTAATAATTGGCCTTAATGTAAGGCAAAAATTGATTGGTCTTGAAAATGTTTGCGTAGGCTTTGGCCTTGAAACTCCTAATCTTGGGCGTGACCTTAAAACTTTTGGCCATGGAATTGTAACTTTTGTTCTTGGTTTTGGCCTTGGCCTTGTAACGTGTGGCCTTGACCTTGCTACTTTTGACCTTGTTAACAACTCTGCCTTCTTTTCATTTGGCACCCCTTGGATATCTGCCGCTATCTTCGAAATAATTTTAAAGTAATTAATTTTGCATCGAAACGCCTTTTTACTTTCGGAATTGTAAAATTTGCTTCGAAATTTTTTTGCGATTTCGAAAATCGAAAAATATTACCGAAAAAAAATTTTATTTTCAAAATTGTAAAATTTGCTCGGAAATATTTTTGCTATTTTGAAAATCGGAAAATATTACCGAAACAATTTTTTACTTTCGAAATTTGCTTCGAAATTTACTTCGAAATTTTTTTGTTATATCGAAATTCCGAAAATATTACCGAAAAAAATTTTTACTTTTGAAATTCTAAAATTTGCTTCGAAATATTTTTGTTATTTCGAAAGTCTGAAAGTATTACGCAATATACAAATATTACTATTAAAGTCTAAAATTTGCTTATATTTATTTTATTACTGAAATTATACAAAATTTTTTTTAAATATTTTTATAAATAATTAAATTTTAAAAATTAACATAAAATAATTCTTAAAATTTTTGGTGTTACGGCACAGTGGTGGCAGAACTACCTCTCACTATTTTATATAACTACCTCTCAGTATTTTATATATATAACTACCTTAACTTACGTCACAAAGTTACAAGTTAAAAATTAGTGATCCTCAAATTCCCGGGAATTTCAATTTCGGGAATATCGGGAATGAAAAAGCTCATTCCCGGGAATTACCGTTACCGGGAATGAGCTTTCCAGTATTTTTTTTTCTTTCTAAAACCTGAAAATTTTTAATCAAAAAACAATACAAAGGACTCAACATTTATGTTGGAATCTACTTTATTAATTTATTTTGGAAATAACATTTAAGAAAAGAAATAGCATCGATGTTCTCGTCACAAAGACGATTGCGAACTTTGCTCACAAGAATATTTGCTTCCGAAAAACGACGTTCTGCAGCTACTGATATTGCTTGTATTGTATTCAGTCCCTCGAAAAGTCTATCCAGAGTTGGTGAGCGTAATTTTGTCTTCGCATACATCTGCATCTCCTTTTTGTAGTCAATAACTTTGCCCGCCTGCTTGTTGGTGACCTCTCTTGAAGCTTTCAAGGCAAGTGTCAGTTTCTCAGCTATACTTATTTGAACCTGCTGTGATGTTGATGCTGATGGTTCTTCTTGCTGTTTAGGTTGTTCCACACAATCATCATTTTCAGTACTGAAGAGTCTTTCCATCAATTTCACAGCAAGTTTGCTCATAGCTGCAACAGTCGATGTAGCAAAGTGATTCGGCCCATTAATGCTGTTGATGTCGTGCAAGTAAAGGATGAGTGATTGAAGAACGTCATGTCTGCGTTTGTTGATTTTCTCTTTGATAGCCAAGAAGATGTCCTGCGAGAGCTGATGATCATGCATTTCTAGATTGTCCAAGAGAAACTTGATAGTTGTGTTGCAATCAATGAGATTTACTGATTTCTTTGACAAGAATTGAATTGCCAACTTCGCTGGACTCAGAACTTCTACCAGCTCCTCCAATCTTTTTGAGTCAATATCTGCCCATAAGTAGGTTTTGTTAATCTCCCTGTGGTTCAGAGCTTCCTTCACAGGTCCAAGTAACTTCAAGAACCTTTCGCAAGCATCATGAAGGCTTCACCAACGAGTCTTTGAATCTAACTTCAGCTTAAGTTCTCTCCCGTTGTTCATCCTCTTAACGAACTTTTGAAGAATTTCATTTTTGACCGATGATCGATGGAAAAGGCTCACAATTTTTCTCAATTTGGTGATCGTTGATTGATAAGCGAAAACCATTTGAAGTGAATCGGCCTCCTCTTCATCGTCTGATTATGTGTCCTCACCGGCATCATGTACATCTTCATCAGGTTCATCTTCATTTCCACACTCAACGAAAAAGACATCATCGTCGTCGTCATTCACTGGAGTATCTGCTGACTGTTTCTTTAGATAAAGAACTTTAGTAACACCCAGATGAATTCCATGATCGCTGCACTGGACGTATTCTGATGCGATCATGGAACCAAATGATACCATAGCGCTCGCACCATCACCAGAAGTGCCAACAATGTGTTTCTCTGGATCCAAACCAAATTCCATCAATCTTGCTTCGAACTGTTAATAAAAAAATAAAAAATAAAATGATTAGAAACCTAAAAAAAGAAAAAGATTATAATATCAACTTACTAGTTTTTTGATGTTAAGAGCAGTTGTACTTCCATAAATTGGAACCATGCCCAAATTGATTTCTTTATCAACACCATTTTCAAAATAATGAAGATTAATGTTCAAGAAACGTCGCCCTGCAGTAGAAGTCCATTCATCAAGGGTTGTTGAAAAGAAATGTCCTTCGGCTCGATGAGTTTGAATCCACAATTTTATTTTAGCCTTGATGTCTTCATGAAAACCTCGAACAATCTTTGCAACACCAGATCCATTCTTTGGGAAGTTTTTTGTTGGAAACTTCTCTTTCACATGCTCTGCTATTATATCTGAGTTAACGATCTGTTCAAAGTTTAATCCATTTAAAGCAACTTCTTTAGAAATGGTTTTCTCAATGGATCAAGTATATGATGAACACGCTTTATATGTTCTATCAAACCCTTTGTTGAACCTCCAGCACAATTAAGAACAGCACTACACTTTCGATTGCCCAAGTCTACGTCACAGCGTGCTTTATCTTTGTTGCCCGTTTCCCTTTTGAAGTGCTTCCACACAAAAGACATGCTATTTAAAATTAAATGATAAGATATGAAGATAAAATAAATGAAGAAAAAAGAAAAGAAATAAAAAAAAAGAAAAAGATTTAGAAAAATAAATAACATAATATGTACTATATTTACCTTTGATAATTTGTCGTAAATAACTTTTTCAATTTCTTTTAAAAAAACTTGCACAATGCACTTTACACTTTAAAAAATAACTATAACTAATACCATGGAAGTATAAAACAGATGGAAGTTCAACCGCTTTGAAAATCTTCGGGACTATGTTTGTAACCTTTTGTTTCGCAAACAAAAGAAAACTACATCAAGACTGTACTTAAACGCTTAATTTTTATACGATGACGCAAATAGATACGTTTAAAATAAGCACTTTGACGGTTCCCCAACAATATTCAATTGCAAAAATTAAAAATGGCGAAACGGCAACGAGCTATATTTTGTCAAACTTTATGTTAAATGAATGGAGTATATTTAGCATGAATGGAGTTATGATATAAACCCAACGAAACTATAAACTTTAGTTATTTACAGAACAATTTTTTTAATTTTTTAAAAATTTATTAAGTAGTCTATTTAATCAAATGTCGTGTTATGATTAAAAACAAGAAAATCTGCTTTTACTAATATACGCTTTTGAAATATAGTGATTCTAAATATTTACCAAGTTGTAGTTAAGGTTCTGTTAGATAATTATAACAAGTAATGGTTAAAACGAAGTGGCATATCTATGGAATATACATTTTTTGATGTTTTGATAAAAATCATTTCAGTGAATTTTTGCT